CGTGGTCCCCGGTGGTCCCCCCGACCCCCTTCCCCGGGGAGCAGCTCTTCGCCCGGGACCCGTTTGTGTGATGGCCCCTGGGCCCCAAGGTGGGCCCTCGGGGCCGAGGCCGAGGCACGAGAGCGCTGGTGGATCAGAAGCCAGATCCTCAGGGCTCTGTGGGAGCCCGGCCCCCGCGAGGCACTTCGGGGACCCCGTCCGCCCCAAGGCGCACGGGGCCTCCCCGGCCCGACCCGCGGCGGACTCTGCGCTGGGCCCTGGGCGGCCCGAGGCGGGCTCCTTGCGGGGCGGGCCGCCTCGGGTGGGCTGTGCCGCCCCGGGTCGCTCGGCGCCGGCCCGGTGGCAGCCGGGTGGCAGCCGCGGCCCGGGCGGCGCCACGAGAGGCCCCCAGGCGTCCGAGGAGCGGCACAGTGCACCGAGGCCGCGGCTCGTCGGGGGAGAGCCCTTCGTCGCCGCGCTGGGTCACAGCGCGCCCCGTGGAGCAGCGGCAGCGGCGCCCTGTTGCCCCTCCAAGGAGAGGCCCGAGGGAGGCCCCGAGGGAGGCCCCGACGGCAGGGGCTCCGAGGGAGGCCCCTCTCTCGGGCGCCCCCAACGGCGCGCTGGTCTCGAACCCCCTGGGCTGGCAGTGGCTATACCCCGCAGGGGGCAGCTGCACGCCAACACCGTCCCTGGCAAGGCCATCCTGGGCCACAGGATGGTGTATGTACCCCCCGTGGCCTCGACCATGAGTCGAGTGGGGGATCGATTGCAGACTTGATTTACCCCAAAATTGATTTGCCAGTCAAGGTTGCGGAACATGCGTACAATGCTCGGGGATATATGGGGTATTCTACGTCTGTGTTCGTAGATTCGACGAAGTCCTCAATCTTGGGGTAAGTCAATTCTGTAGTCAATCCCCTCCTCCAAAAGATGGTCCATGTACCGCTTGGGGCCTCGACCGGCAGGGTCTTATGCACCATCCTGGGGCCTAGGATGTACCTGACTGGGGGCGGTGGTGGTGGTGGTGCCCTGAGGTCGAGCGTTGCGAACAGAATTGGCAGCGTCACGAAAAATCAAGACTGGAGCCCGAGACCCATCTTCCTGCGGCATTCTTCGAGCCGGATCAATCTGTGGCCCAGGGGGCCCGACACCGAGCGAATATACGCCTGGTGTGAACAAACTGCGACGCCCAGATCTCCGGGTGGTGGCGTACAGCTGCCGTCTCCGAGTGGTGGCGTCGTGCCTTCCCTCTCCCCACCCGGCCGCGCCTGGGCGCGATGCCCTGACCCCGCGCCCGCGCTTGGGGCGCCAGCCGGCCCGCGGGCGGCTCCCTCGCGCGCGTCGGCCTGCTCCTCGGAGCGGCCGAGGGGCCCTCGAGTCGGTACGATCGAGCTGGGTACGGAAGGAGCAGGTCGGCGGCGAGCGAGGGGGGGAAGCGAGAAGGAGGAGGCCTTCGCAGAGGGCGGAGGCGGCGGGACTTCCCAGAAGCCCTCGCGCCTTCTGAGAAGTTTCTGTTTGTCTTCGGGGAAGGCTTAGACAATTTCTCAGAAGGCCGGAGGACTTCCGAGCCTTCTGAGAAGGCCTTATCCTTCTCTCAGGCGAGCGCAAACATGGATCAAAGGGGCGTGGATTAGCGACGGGTCCCGTTTCCATTGGAAATCGGTGATTTCCGTGCCAAACGAGCTAGCACCAGCCGCATTTTGGCGAGGGCACCTCCCCCGATCCATGTTGGTGCGCCCCCGATTCTCACTTCCCCCCCTCGCTCGGTGCCGAGTAGTGGCGAAGACCGACAGCAGTTCCCGTCCAGAGTGCACCGGGCTCGCCGTCGGTGTCGCTCCAGGCCTTACCGAGCTGAGGCAGAAAGCTGCCTGCCGACAGCAGCCGCTGTCTGTTTTGGATAAACGTTTGGTGCTGGCGTCGTGCCCCTGTTTTCCGTACCCACTTCGGGCGTCCAAAGCGAGGGTTCGTGAGCGATGATTCTGGCTGGAATGGATCGATGGTCGATAGTCATCAAGGTTCTAGAGTGAAGGCCTTGCGCAGCCGGTGCCGCCGACCCTGAATGGGGAGTCCGAGGCGTGTGAGAGGCAAAGGATCGAAGGGGAAAGTTTCTACCAGGGAGGGGTGCTCCCCCACCAGGGAGGGGTCACAACCCCCTGGATCCCCCCTACCCCCCTGGGACCCCCTTGGGACCCCCCGGGACCCCCACGTGACCCCCCCCATGGACCCTCTCCGAGGCCCCCGGTATCCCCCTCCCCCCCAAGCGGGGAAGGGATCAAAGGGAAGGGGTTTCTCTTCGACTCGATTACGACGTTGCCCGATTTCTAGTTTCCTGGGACGTTTGACGAGGAGGGCCCACGTACAAGGACAGCGGGGAGCGGTGACGGTGACAACGATGACGGCGGCGGCGGCGGCGGCGGCGACGACGACGACGACGACAACTCAGACGGACAAGCCCCTCAGACGCGCCGGCAGGGTCGGCGGATTTTTTTGGCGGGACGGGGCTTCTCGGGGTGCCCTCTTC